TCCACTTCCTGGAAGAGTTTAAGAAGAATTGGTGTCAATTCTCCTTTAAATGTTTGGTAGAATTCTCCAATGACACCATGCAGTTCTGAGCTTTTCTTTGCTAGATTTTCAATTACTGATTGAATTTCCTTACTGCTTCTGGGTCTGCTCAGATTTTCTATTTCTTCATTATTTGGTCTTGGTATGTTTCCAGAAATCTATCAGTTACAGGTTAGCTAATATGATGGCATATAATTGTTCGTAATAGCCACTTTGATCCTTTGTATTTCTGTGGCATCAGTTGCAATGTCTCCTTTTTCATTTCTGACTTTAGTTAAGTCAGTCTACTCTCTTTTTCCTCAGCCTAGCTAAGGGTTTGTCAACTTTATTGATCTTACAATCTTTTCAAAATATCAACTATTAGTTTCTTAAATTTTTTCTATTATTTTCCTATGTTGTTTATTTCTGCTCTATATTATTTCTAAGACCCTATTTTTTGGGGGAAAGCTTTACAAGATTTACCTAAAAGCACAGGTTCCTAAGCCAGTTTTTTCCAATTTATTTTCCTGCATTCCACAGTTTAAAAAAAAAAAAAAAAAAGCATTTCACAGTAAACAGACTCATACACATATGTGACTTAAAAAGAAGTCCAGGCCGGATGGAGTGGCTCATACCTGTAATCACACTTCGGGAGGCCAAGGCAGGTGGATCACCTGAGGTCAGGAATTCGAGACCAGCTTGGCTAACATGGTGAAACCTCTGTCTCTATTAAAAATACAAAAATTAGCTGGGCATGGTGGTAGGCACCTGTAATCCCAGTTACTTGGAAGGCTGAGACAGGAGAATCGCTTGAACCCAGGAGGTGGAGACTGCAATGAGCCAAGATCATGCCACTGCACTCCAGCCTGTGAAATAGAGTGAGACTCTGTCTCAAAAAAAAGAAGTCCATAAAATACTCACCGTTAATATATGCACTGCTCTTACTTTTAACCTATAATTCTTCACTTTTTTAAAATTTAAGGCTTTTAAAATTCTTATAATTTAAAATCAATTTATTCACTAAGTTGATTTCACTTGAATAAAAGTTTAAAAATACTATTCTAAACAGTATATTCAATATCAGAAATGTATACAACAGGCACAGAAAACATTATCTGTTTCAAATAATTTGTAATTCTTGTTGTGGAGCAAGGTAAAAGAGAAAACATGAGTAAAAATTGGAAGATTATTCTTTGGCAGAATAAAATTAGAATAAGAAAATAATAAAATTCAAAATATACCCAGTCCTTTTCACACTTTCAAGGTCTTCCCACTTCCAATGTCAATCACAAGCACAGTACAATTGGCCTTCCATATCCGTGAGTTCCATATCTATGGATTCAACCAACCCACAGATGGAAAATATTCAGTTAAAAAAATTGTGTCTGTACTGAACATACACAGATTTTTCCTTGTTATTATTCCCTAAACAATACAGTCTAACAAATATTTACCTAGCATTTATATTGTATTAGGTATTGTAAGTAATCTAGAGATGATATAAAGTATAAAGGAGGATGTACATAGGTTATATGCAAATACTGCCATTTTATATCAGAGACTTAAACATTCTCAAATTGTGGTATCCAAGGAAGGTCTTGGAACCAATTCCGCAGGGACACTGAGGGTCAACTGCATTTGCAAATAAGAAACCAAGAAATGTCCTTCTCCTGCATAGAAGCTTCACTTTAAAACAGATTCAACACATACAACAGCCCAGAGGCACTGTGTGTGATATAATAACATAAAAAATTATACTTGGAGAGCTGAGAAATGGCTTCATATTTTAAAAACTATAAAATCTGCTAATGAACCACAACTGATCCTGCCGTAGTTTTCTTAATGTATCCTTCCGTAAATGCACTTGCACTAGTTATTATAATACAATGATATATTTCACACTTGAAAACACAAAATAATTCCTATATCTGCTTGGAGAGTCATTCTTACTTCTATTCAAACCAGGTTACACAAAATATACATTACAATTTAACAAAATAAGATAATAATTTCTAAAATTAAAGTCTACAGTGAAAGAAAGTACTCTACAGATCTTCTTTCTAACATATCTGGACTAAAGAAAAATAAGCTTTTAACCCAGGGAGACACTCACTGAGAGACCTCACATAGATAGACCTTACTAAAAGGCATGTAAGAAACAGAATCACTAGCAGAGAGCAGAATGAGAAGTCAAACAGCTCTATTCAAACTGCCAACCTGTGCCATGTACATGGTGATGTCTTCTTCATTGTGAAAGTCTATCCTCATCCCATATGCAATGCACAGCTGTACTACAACCTCCAGATCGCTGTTTTTCTTTAGTAGAGTATCTGATTTTATTGCTTCTTTCTCTTCACCATCTGTCATTTATTGCTACTTTAGGCCTATCTATTTCTCTTAACCTAAAGGGCACTGCAAATTTCATGGTGTCCAAATTACATACAAAGTAACAATAAAAGGCTTCTAAGTAAGGATCTGAGGTGTTTCCTAATTGAGCAAAGTATATGAACTTTAACACATGAACTTTATATTTTGGCCACTTACCATATCTTATTTGCTCATCTGTCAAATAAGTTGACTTAACTCGACTATTTTATGTTCAAAATAGTAACATCTCATTTGATTCTCCCAACAACCCTATGAAGTGGAAGGATTACTAGTCCAATTCTACAAATGAGAAAACTGAAGCAACGAAGGTGTTAAATTATGTGTCCACCAAGGCCAAAGGACTAGAATATGGCTGAAGATTATCTAGATCTTAATCTAGATACTCTGAGATCAATGTCTGTGCTCATAAATGCCTATGGCAATATGACTGTATCAGTGTGGTTAGTATTCCCCACTTAAATAACTTTAACAATCTTATGGGGAAAAAATACAGAAATAACTATCTCAATTACTTGATGTCTAGGAGATAAGATGCCCTAATTGCCTTCTTTCAGTTCTCCAAAAGCTACTCTGAAAGACCTAACTGAGGCAAAGAAATGAAAAGCCTAACGAACACCAATGGGTCAACAAAGCTGATGGGAAGTTTTCTAGCCTTATCTAGCATTACACTGAGCCTATCCTATAGTGGATCCAAACAAGACTCTCCCCATTGCCATTTGAAGACTTACTTGCCAAGGATGACTCAGGGCTGTTCCTTTTGAGATGTAGTTCTAAATGATCTCTGAATGCCTACAGAATAATTGTACATTTTAGCTTTCAATAAATATTCCTTGAGTAAATGTGGGGTGGGTATTCCATGCTCTCTGCTGCCATACCAAACTGTAAGCTTTTCTGACTCCCCATCATACCTACAGCTCCCTGAAAGCAAGAAATAACTTATTATTTTTAGAGTCTCAATACCCAGCACCATTCCTGGCACATATGGCATTCAATAAACGTTTGGTAAATAAGTGAGCCCAAAAGCAAATCTGCCTGGCACAAAGCAGTATCAATTCAGATGTTTCTTAATTAGAGGTTGTGATTGTGTGTGTGTGTGTGTGTGTGTGTGTGTGTATATAAAAGGTGTGTGTATTCTTGAACGAAGTTAAGAATTCCTTTGGCCAGGTAGAGTGGATCCTGCCTGTAACCCAAGGACTTGTGGAAGGATCACGTAAGTCCAGGAGTTCGAGACCAGCCTGGGCAACATAGCAAGACTCTATCTCTACAAAAAAACTTTTTTAAATTAGCTGGGCATGGTGGCACACGTCTATAGTCCTAGCTACTCAGGAGGCTGAGGTAGGGGGATCACTTGAACCCAGGAGTTTGAGGTTACAGTGAACTAACACCAAGTCAATGCACTCTGTCCTGGGCAACAGAACAAGACTTTATTTCTTAAAAGAAAAAAAAAAAAAAGAAACAATTGTTATATTTTATCTTTGGACTCAACTCACTAGCTATTTTCCTACTAAAGCAAACCTTTCTCAATTTATATATATGATACATATATATTTATAAAAAGAGACCTTATGTGCAAACTAATGATAACAGCAAATTAAACTAGAGCCAGATGTAAGCCCCCCATCCAATAGCTACTTCATTCTTGTAAACCATAATTTCCTGCCACCATCAAAGAAATGATCCTCTGTATTTTTAAAGTACTAGCCATTTTTACAGATGGGAACCATGTAGACATAATCCAATTATAAGACTATGACTGTTTCTTAGATTATAAAAACCTTATACAGGCTGATATGCCCTAATATGAAAATCTGCAACCCAAAATGCTCCTAAATCCAAAACTTTCTGATCACTGACATGACACTCAAAGGAAATGCACGTTGGAGCATTTCAGATTTCATATTTTCAGGTTAGGGATGCTCAAATGTTAAATATAATGCAAATATTCAAAAAATTTTTAAAATTCAAAATAAAAATCACTTCTGGTCCCAAACATTACAGATAAGGGCTACTCAACCTGCAGCATGTTGGGTTTAACAAACTGTACATGGCAATATAATTTAAATTTGTACCCTACAAAATGAATTAAGCACTGGGATAAGTGCTTGTATACAGCATCTCTCTTAACCTTTGCAACAACTCTTCAAGGTGTATATAACTGTTACCACCATTTTACAGATGAATATATGAATACTCAAGGTTGTACATCTAGCTAGTAAGTATAGAAACCAGAATATACACCCAGCTTTGACTAATACCTGAGTTATTAGCTACTCACAACTCTATCCCACAGTATACCCTCAACAAAGGAAAAATTTTCTAAATCATAACTGCATAACTCTAACATTGTAATAACACAACATACTTGCTTTTAACTATATCATTCTTAGAAGGAAAACTTATTGCCTTCATAAGCTCCACACTTACTTTCCCACCTTAACCACTGAAATCTTGAATCATATGAGGGCTATTTATCACTAATATCCTTTTTCTGAAAATCATACTGTGCCCCTCCACTGCCATGAAAAACACCATTGGCACCCATAGCAATGTTCTGTATAAAAGTTGCCAAGGCTATTAGTGGCAATGATCACTACCTTAGGTGACTCTGGAGTCTCAGAAGACTTGAACACTCTAATACAAGTTCTAAGGGTTTAGGTAAGATCCACCACACCAAATGCTGAGTAAAACCACCTAGAAAAAAAAAAAAAAAGAAAATTATATGATTAAATATAATTAAATGTCTCTCTACATGGAACAGCTATTTGAGGAGATCAATTGTATGCTATTTTTAGTCCAAAAGAGCAAGGTTTGCAGATTTTATTTATTTATATACCAATAGGCTAAACATCAAAAATGAAACCAAATTGTCCTGTTTTTCTCAACATTCGAAGACAATCAGGCAAGAGGAGTTCATTCACCATAACTTACATATTAAGATATTTTTTTCCTTTTCCCTTTTTCTGACTTACCTCCATGGCCTCAATGAATTTCGGGCCATACATACATAAATGGTAATTATTAAAGTAAACCAAGGGTCCTTTCTTCTACTCTCCCTCTGAAGAAAGGAAGGAAACTCGGAGGTTCTATAGAAACATACCAAGATTTCTACTGGATACATTCCAAGTCTTCCCTCTTTCTCACTCTGTATTCAATCAACAGAGAAGTTCACTGATCTTTATACCTGAGTATCTCTTTAATTTGCCTGGTTGTCCCTATCTCTAATGTCATTACTCCAGGTTAAACCAACACATTCAAATGCCTGGATTACTAAGGTAACCTATCTAACTAGTCTCGGTGACTGCTTTGTTTCTTTCCATTCATTCTTCACCTTCCATCCAAACTGACTCTTTCAAAACCGTGAACTACTCAGATGTTACCCTCACTAAAGTCTTTCAATGACTTTTTATCATTTTCATGATAAAATCATAGCTTAACATGCTTAGAAGACTCTAACCTGGCTCCAATCAATTTCTCCGGTCTTATCTTTAGTCACTTCTGTCTTCATATGCTTTATAGTCACATGGCTCTTCTTTCAGATTTTCAAACTCTTCACATTGGTTTTGTGGGGTTTTTATTTGTTCTGCATCGCAGCTACTGCACAATCTCTTCCCTCCACCTACTCTACTTCCCCACAGCCTCCTAATTTAACCTAATTCCTATGTAACCTATTTAGATCTGTATCACAGCTCTTTCTCTGAGAAGCCTTACCTAATCATTCCAGATAAGACTGGGTGCCTCCTTCCATATACCTCTCCTACTACAGCTCTTATCACTACTTTAGTATAATTACTTCTTTAATTATCCAGACTTCCTCATTAAACTATATTTTCACTAGGGAAGGGATTATTAGGGGTACTTGCCCACCCCTACATACCCCAACACTGAGCACAGTGCCTAGACACATAGCACAGACTTGACTTTTTTTTAATTGAATAAGTGCACAAACAAAAATGAAAATCTGGAGGAAAAAACTGAAAGAAACAGATTTAAAAGATATTTTAACAGTCAAAAATTCCATATCAATACACATCCTCAATAAATAAATGGGACTTCTAGATTCTGCTTAGGATGTAGAAAGCTAGAAAGAATGTCATTTCACCCTTCAAACAAAGTAAAAGATGAATATTGTGCAAAATCACAAATTTTCTTGAACCCAGCACAAAAGTAGAGCAACCTTAAATCTAAGTAACTAATCTAAAATCTAAGGAAAAACAAGATTTTAAAGGGAGAGATGGGACATGAGTACTTTACCTGTAGTCAATATCAGGCACCATACAAGCCAATAAAAATTTGGTTAAAACTTTTTAAAAAAATTACTACAAGCCAAATGTGAACCCACAGCTAGGAGAAGTAAACAAAACAAACAAACAAAAAAAGCCCTCTACCCCCCTTAAAGAAGGGGCAAGATCTCTGAAAAAGCCCCATACCTGAGACCCAGAAAAAAAAATGAAAACACCTAGCTAAAACTGAGACTGGAAAAATCCAACATAAAATGTCCTCCCTGCCTCCAACCAAAAGGAGACTAGCAAGCCTCAAACAACATGTAACAGCAATGTACTACAGTCATGGGTCACATAATGACAGGGATACAGTCTGAGAAATGCATCATTAGATGATTTTACTGCGAGAACATCACAGAGTATACTTACACTAAGACAGGATGGCCTGGCTATAAACCTGTACAGCATGTTACTGTACTGAATACTGTAGGCAACTGCAACACAATCGTAAGTATTTTATCTAAACACAGAAAGGTCCAGTTAAGATAACGGTATTATAATCTTAGGGGACCATCATCGTATATGCAGTCTGCTGCTGACCAAAACATTGTTATGTGATGCATGACTGTTCGTGAGCAAAGAGCTAAAGAATGGAGAAATACATTCTCTGAGATGCAAGTTCAAAGGGAAGACCTAAACATAAGGGTGGAGTAGACATTAAGAAAAAGTCTGGCACACTTAATCCAACCCTAAACACAAAGTAATGCTAGAGAATCTTGAAGGCTGTGGTAAATTAAAGGTAAACTAGCAACAACAAAAACCCTCAACACTACTCGCCACCACACACACACACACACACACACACACACACACACACATCTCAGGAAAAGACAAAGCATGTCCATTTCCAGGCATAAGTACTATTTAGCTGGTTCTCTATACAAAACGTCTAGATTTCAACAACAACAACAAGGAGCAAAGAAAAAAACAAAACAAAACACAAAACTGCACTGTCAAGAGACAAAGCAATCAATAGAACCAGATTCGGATACAACCATCATGTTAGAACTATCAAACATGGAATTTATATGTTAAATGCTGTAATGAAATATGTAAATAGCATGCATACACATATATGTAATTTAAGCAGAGGGATGGAAACAGTAAGAAATCAAATGGAAATGCTAGAAATAAAAATGTAGTAACAGAGATTAAAGTCTTCAACAACCTTATCAGTAGACCAAAACAATCACAGAATCAGCAAAGACATCAACAGAAACTATTCCAACAAAACACGACAAGAGAATGAAAAACAGAGAACATCCAAGAGCTATGGGGCAATATAAAATACTCTAGCATATGTGTAACTGGAATTCCAGAAAGAAAGATAAGACAGAAACAAAATATAAAGAGATAATAACCAAAATTTTTCAAAATTAATAAAGTATATCCAACAACTCCCAGAAGCTCACAGAACACTAACATGCATCAAATAAACAAACAACAAAAATCCACAATTAGACACATCATATTCAAAATGATGAGGGAAAAAAAAAATGATAAAGAGAAAACCTTGAAGCCTGCCACAGTTAAAAAAAAAATGGTACAACACAGTGGAACAGGATAAGACTTTTCAGAAACTATGCAAACCAGACACCATTAAAGTGCTGAAAGAAAAAACTGTCAATGCAGAAATCTATATCCACGAAAATATCTTTCAAATTGAAGAAGAAATAAAAAATGTTCAGGCAAAATGTAATTCACATAACAAAAGACTAACAAAAATAAAATACATGATTATCTCAAGAGATGTACTTAAAATATTTGACAAAATTCAACATCCATCCAGTAAACTAGGAATAGAACGTCCTTATCCTGATAAATGGCATCTACAAAAAAAAGCAAAGCAATAAAACCCACAGCTTGTATTATGCTTGATGAAAAACCAATGCTTTTCCCCATAAGATGCAAAAAACAAAGAAAAGACGATCACACTTGCCACTTCTATTTGACATTAAAATAGAGGTTTTAGCCAGTACAGCAAGGGAGAAAAAAATGTAAAAGACATCCAGATTAGATGAAAGAAGTAATACTGTCTTTATCTGTAGACAACATAATCTTCTGCATAGAAATCTCATAGAATCTATAACAAAGCTACTGGAACTAAGTAAGTTTAGCAAGGTCATAAGGATACAAGCAGTTCCATATGCTATCAGTGAAAAAAAAAAAACTGAAAATGGAGGAGTATCATTTACATTAGCACCCAAAAACATGAAATGCTTAGTCATAAATCTAACACAGTATGTGTAGAATCTATGCTGAAAACTAAAATACATTGATAAATGACATCAAAAATCTAAAGACAGATCATAAATGAGATGCCTCAATATTTAAGATGTCAATTCTCCCCAAAATGATCTTCAGAATTAAATCAGAATCAATCCAGAAGGACTTCCTACAGAAAATGAGAAGGTAATTCTAAAATGGATAGGAAGAGGCATAGGAACTGGAATCGCCAAAATAACTCTGAAAAGGGACAAAGGTGGAGAACTCACACTACCTGACTTCAAGTTTACTATAAAGCTACAATAATCAGGCAAGTGTCATATTGGAGAAAGGGTAAATACATAGATGAATGAAATGCAGTACGAGTCCAGAAACAGACTCGCACTTATATGAACAATTGATTTTCAAGAAAGGTATAAAGGAAATTCTATGAAAGAGAGCTTTTCCAAAAAATGGTGCCGAAATAAGTGGAAATTCATTCGCAACAACAAAAACTGTATCCATAACTCATACCATATACAAAGCCTAACAAAATGAATCACAGATCTAAATGTAAACCTACAATTTTAACACTTCTATAAGTAAATAAGGAAAAAAATCTTTGTGATTTTTGGTTTTGCAAAGGTTTCTTAGATATAACATCAAAAGCATGATCCATAAAATAAAATAATGTAAAAATCAATAAGCTCAACTTCATCAACATTCAAACTTCTGCTCTTCAAAGACATGTAAGAGAATAAAAAACAAGCCATAAACTTTGAGAAAATATTTGCAAGTCACATCTATGATAAAGAACTTTCATCCAGAATCTCCAAACTCAGTGCCAAAAAAACAACAAAATAATTTGAAGAATATTTCACCAAAGATATAAGGATGGCAAAAAAGATGCTCAAAATCTTTTATCATTAAAGATATACAATTCCATTTATACAACATTCTGGAAAATACAAAACTATGGAGACAGAAAACATGCCACTGGTTGCCAAAAGCTTGGGATCAAGTAAGGGGCTGACTATAAAGTGACAAGGGAATTTTTTGTATTGATGGAACTGCTCTCTCTGCATTTTAATTGTGTGGGAGTTACACAAGTGTTATGTTTGTCAAAATTCACAAAATGTACTCTATGAAAGGTGAATTCTGCTACATATAATCTTAAGTTTTTTAATGAAAAAAATGACATCTTTAAAATTCCTGCCAAAATATAGCTGACAGCACTGATTCTTTAATTTTTTAAATTTCTGATTCTTGGCTTTAAAATATACCTATTTAGTAGCCAGTGAATAATCAGTATAGTCTTGAAGTTATCTGTAAGACTGATGATTTGTTTCTTAAATCTTGAGGCTATAGTCTTTCCCAATTTAATTCTGCAGTTATTACTTAAGACTTCATTGACTTACTCAACTTTGCACAAGTTAACGATGAGAAACTTGGTCTCTTTTGACTGTCAACTCTACCATCTCCTCCATATATGACCAAACTACACAATCCTTTGCAATGCACTCAGGCAGATATATAAAACTATATTTTTAATTTGAATGGTTTTATTTTGAACTATAGAAGAAAAGAGGGCTCTGAGAATTCCGAGGTGCTCTGGCAATTACAAATAACATTAGGTAAATCAATATGTAAGAATTTTTTCTAAAATGCATTTCTTCCCAAACTTTCTCACTCAAAAGCTTAGATTCCCCAGACCATACAATATATAAACTAAGCTTACCTTGCATTCAAGATTTTCCATGATTTGATGTCAATCTACTATTTCAATAATATTTCTATCATTCTAAGACACAAATTCTCCATTCTGGGATGGCCTCCTTGTCTGCTCCTTCCAACTTCTGAAATGCTCTCCTTGATAATGTCTAATGCCCTCCTTAAATGAGTTATGTTAAAACTGAGATATCTCAGTGCCATTATATCACTGTCGTTATATATTACTTTATACTCTTATTCAAATGTTTCATTTATGAATGTCATCTCACACTCTGTAAGTTTCTTAAGGGCAGATAATCTCTTTCACACACTTATCCTGAGAATACAATCATATTCAGAGAAAAATTGATGTACGAATTGATTCTAAATTACTTTAAATCTTATAGTAATTTAAAATTAATTCAATAACTTCCCAGAAGTTTATTTTGTACTTTGAGAAACTGAGGTAAGGGGCACTAGGCTTTGCTCCCTGAGATCGCAGCTGTATCACACTCATCTTCATATCTCCAGAGTTGAATACGGTGCCTGACACATGAAAAACATTAAAATATTTAAATATTTAACTAAATTTCACTTTCTAAGGCCACAAAGAGATAGAATCCTGAAGTTCTAGTCCAATTCTCCCAAGGTTAGTACTTTGAAATGCTCTCTAGTTTCTCATATTTGTTCACATATTCTCCCTGAATATACCACAAATATAGCAAACACAAAAGCTGTTCTAGCTCCTCTTTTTAAAGCTCAAAAAGCAACCATCACAGTATTGAGTGCATGCATAGCAGGTGGGCAATATTCCTATCAGAATTCTTAAAAAGCAGCATACAGGCAGCTCACAGACACTTCTTCCCTGCCCCATGTAAAAACATGTTAGTTACTCTTTCTATTGGGAAGATTTATTTTTCATCATCTTTGGCACAAATTCTAGAATGCTATATGCCAGGTCCCATGCCCCAATAAATATGCATCCACAAGCAATTATGGAGATAGATAGCTTATGGGGAGGGGGCACTCTTTGGTCAGGTCCCAATGCTAACCTGTGGTTAGGGGGGAGAAAAGAGTAGGGGGAGGGGTGTGGTCCTGTGATTAATCACTGCCCACTCTGCTTAGGGGTATTTATCACAGCCCGCTGTCAGGTAAATCACTGGAAAAACACCTCTTCAGTAATTAATGTGAAGTGACGGATGGACAGCCCCTGGGCCCATTAATCAGGAACATCAGCAGCCTACTGAGATTATGAATGTCAGGATGCATAAACTGCCGGTGGATCAATAGGCCCAGGAATTCATCCAAGGCTCTCATTTCCGAAGCATCTCCGGTACATTAGGCTCCCTCTACCCCTCCCCCAATCTGAAGTGAAAAGCAAGGTTTCAGAACACAGAGCAGGAGCTGAGGTCTAAAGTGACCACTGAGAGAAAGTAGTCAAGGAAGCTGGCCATGGCTAGGCATGGTACCAGGACAGGTAACATGAGCACAGAGCTATACTGACGAAGAGGCTCTCTCAGAAGGCTCAATGTTCCTGCAAAAGAACTAGAAAGACATGGTACACATCCAATTATTCAGAGCCTGACTGTCCATTTTAGAGATCATCAAGTTTCTTGCTTCAAATTTTTTACCCATTTCCCCATCTACATTTTCTTTCCTTTCATATTAACACCGCCAAAGAGTAGAGAGAAATAAGAGGAAAAAAATTCCGTTCTTGCAACCTAACACTCTAGGTAAAAATGTTGATTTAAGAGGCAAAACAAGGATTTATATAAAATAAAATCAGTGAATTATCTTTGCCTCATCCCTAAGTACCACAATGATGCAATTACCTAAAGTAGCCAGAGTCTTAAACAAACAAACAAAAAAAGTCCCCACTGAAAGGGTCTGCTCCACTTGTAAAATAGTCTGGAGCTGGAAGACTATTTCTGTCTGCTTGTCATCCCAAGTTTAGTCAAATTTTGTATAGAAAGTAAGCCTGGGCTAGTCTCATATTGAATACATTCTAGGCTGGCAGTGACGGGAAGGAGGCTGCACTTGCTGCCACATCCCGCCAAACCCCAGTGCTGTGCTTTGTGGTCAGACTCAGTCCAGGGCTGCAATTGTTGGTTAGAAAGTATCTCAGAGTTACGGCTGCCTGTTCCGCTAAATCTCATTTCATCCTACTGATGGATGGATGGACACATGGCTGCTTGGTGAAAGCACCATTATCAGCCAGCTTCTATGGAGCCTCTGAATGATGGATAGCCCTCTTTCTACTTTCTCTAAACCACCATCGATCCAAGCCATATTTCAGCGGTCAGAAGCCCAGTAATATTAAGACACACAATCAAGTTAAGTTACTTGCAGTGTAAACCTCTAGAACAGAAATCCTAACACCTCTGCTTTGCTGTCATGAACCACTGCTAAAAATGTTACAGTTTCATTCTTTCTAGCTGCTAACCCAATGAATTCCAACAGCTCAAGTCCAAAGGGAACAGCTGGGCTCCATTCCTAGCAGCTACTTGAAAAGCTAGTTTGCCTGCCAAATTTTTTACTAGCCAGTTCATTTCTGTGAAATGAACTCTGCAGCAGTAGTGAGCAGATCTTTGAATATGTGTATATCCCGTGGAGTGTGAAGCTATTAGAACCATCAAACATCCTAGAGTTTGTCAGTGATATAATCACAAGCCTCAAACATGTGTAGAGCCTTAGACATACTGAACAGACCTTCTCTACCAACACCAAGGATAGTGATTAAAACCAGGACAGATTAAAATTATCTTTTGTACATAATCCTAAAATGCTATTTCTACCCAGTCAGCTTAACGGGTTTCTACCCTCTTGTGTACATATCAAATATAATAGTAAGTGCTAATCTTTGCCTGCTTTCACAAGCACAATTCTGTGTCCATTTGCTCTATCACATTCTAGACACTCATCTCAGCTTGTCTGGGTATTTAGACTCCACGCCTTTCCTTGCTCCTTCCATGTTATCATCCTGAGCTCTCAGACAGCAACTTGGACTGGTATAATTGAATGCCGTGTCAAAGTTATTTCCACTGGTGTGGTTGGAAGAAATGGACTCTGACTCCAGCTTCATGACCACAGATTCCCAGAACCTACCTGCCCTCTTTTGCTTACTTATCCCCAAATGCCTTCTTCTCAAAATGTTTCACTATTAACTATACCCAAAATAAGCTTGGCCTGGCTCCTCCTAGCCTTGGCTTCTCTTGAATGAACCGCTGCCATCCTGAGCCTACATTCACAGAGAATCAAGTCTGTATTTGTTTATGAGGCTAACAAACGTCTCGGTGGAGTAGTAACTGTCTTTCTACTTGCTATTATGGCAGTTTACTTAATACTTTAATATTTATATCTTAACAACATCTACAGCTCTGTTTCTATCAAAAACGAATATGCTACTGCTTAAAGATACTACTTTATTAAAGTGTTCCACTAAGAATCCCACTGCCCTTCAAATAAACATTAAAGAATTTTTACAGAGTTTTAGAATTAAACTTACTGAAAGGGATTGTATAGGTCAGAATTCAACATTCTAGTTTTTCAGAAAAAGACACCGAGAATCCAAGGTTGTAATTTATGTCCATGGTTACACAGACATTAAGTGGCAATGCAAGACTGGAACCTTGGTTACAGTTATAAGGGCTGTGCTCATTCTACTATATTTCTCAAATATTCTGTTTTTATCCTTGGAATTTCAGAGAGAATGACGGCAAGGAGGATTAAGTGTTGTGTGAGTGCCTATGTGTTCTGGGGAAGGAAGGTGGCCACAAATAATGAAGTTTGGCCACCTATACTATTGTGCTTTCCATCAAGGTTGCCCAAAGGTCATCTGAGAGTCATTCACTATCTTATAGAACAAAATTTGATGAATATCTGACAATTAGATACCTCTACTCCTTTCTTCTCCTTTCTTTAATATCTGTGCCAGTCCCATATAGAAAGTTTTGAAAAGAAAAAACCAGAAAGATGTTGAGTGCAAGTAGAGGCAGAGAGCAAGAGGCTTTATGACTAAACCTAAATGAGCAGAGGAGCAATGCGTCCTCTTCATTTCGAAGAATGCTACATTCTGATCAAATACAGAGCACAACTTCACTGACTGGACTTCACCCTCTGGTGGTCAAAATGTGTCACTGCTATATTTCCCAATTTCTAAGCTTACCTCCATAGGGATCTTCAAATCTTATAGCTGAAGCCAGGCACAGTGGCTGACGTAGGCAATCCCAGCACTTTGGGAGGCCAAGGTGTGAGTACTGCCTGAAGCTAGGAGTTCAAGACCAACCTGGGCAACATAGCAAGACCCTGTCACTAAAAAATTAAAATAAGATAAAAACTTAGCTGGGCATGATGGTGCATACCTGTAACCCTAGCTACTTGGAAGGCTGAGGCAGGAGGACTGCTTGAGCCCATGAGTTTGAGGCTGCAATAAACTATGATTATGCCACTGTACACCAGCCTGGGTGACAGAGCAAGACCCAGTCTCAAAACAAGCAAACAGAAAGCTTATAGCTGAAAAGAGCCTTCAAAAACCATTTGGTTGAGGGATTTATCTAAGACTATTTGAGTGGTAACTAAGACCAGAACCCAAACTAGCAGTTTTACCACGATTATAGCTTTATTATCAGTTTTCCACCAAGTATACGCTCAGGATATATGCTGAGCAAAGTTTAATCAGGAAGTTAATTGGGCTGAAGAAATAATCACATAATGCACATCAAATCCAAATATATTATCTACACTAATGCTCATTACCATTAAGGATAAATGATCAGGATGACTTTTCCATCCCATTCCCCAACAAAAATGTGTCTCATACACTGGACAAGACTTCTACTATGACTATTCTTGGCACCAGAGAAAAAAAAAAACTTCTAACAATTCCCCCTCACCCAAAAAAAGGTTGTGTTAGGTGAGTAATAAGGAATAACAATTCTTTAAACTGTTAGCTCTATATATTCCGTAAGCTCAAATAAAGGCTGATTTATTTACATTAAGCAAATATATTTTAGAATAACCAATTCTGTATACTCATTTGCAAAGCTATCTTAAGCCAAGACAAAGATTCTTACTTACCTTTCATTTTAAAAAGTCTTTTTAGAATTTCTACTTAGTTAAGAAAGAACTATTAAACAATGCCCAAGAGAACAATGAGATATTTTTCAAAATCTGCTGCAATGAACCATGTCTAATTATGTTTTCTGTTTCATTACAATTTAGGCCCTACTAGCAAAAGTGAAGTAGTGGTCGAGTAGTGCCATCAGTAGTAGTAGAAGAAGAGAAAGAATAATAATCAGCTACCATTTACTGAGTGCTTACTGTGTGACAGGGATTGTG